ATCCTGCGCATGCCAAGGAGGCCTACCTTTGTGCAATCGACCCTACCGAGTTCAGCAAGTTCAGAAGGGAATCCGGGAGAACCGTAAGAGGAAGCTTGAAGGAAGTGTTGCACCGATGGTTAAGAGTTTGATGGCTACGTTTGCAAGTAGTGTGGAAGTGACCACCCCGGCGTCGTCTGTCTGGGGAAATGATGGAGTGCTTTGCTTGTGGTAAGAAAGGTCACTGGTCCTTTGAGTGCAAGTTTAGGAGGAAGACTTCAACGGACTCAACAACAACCTCGGCAAGGCAAGATCAATAGTTGTGAGACAGATGCAAGTGGGAACCGTTGAAGTAAGCTCTTGTACCTTTTGTTGCACCTCCTTTCGTCTTCGTGCCTTTCCTTGCGTGTTAGCTTCGAACGTTAGCTTGTTTGAGTGTTACCCTTGACCCTCGTTAATCTTTCCTTTCTCCTTAGACGAACCCTTTTTCCTCTTGAAACCGATCTTCATCCCTTATCTGTTTCCGAGAAATCTTTCATACCTCTTCGAGCGTCGTTCTCGTTTCCTTCTTAATTCGATTCTATACAAGATGACAACCTCGTTTTCCTAAGTTGTAATCTTGAAAATCTTGATTTCCTCCTTAACCTACGCTATTCTTTAGCCTAAATATAGTACCCTTCGTTAAGAAATCCTTTCAATTCTTTCAAACCACGTTCTTGTTCATCTCTTGATTTGATTCTGTTCAAGGTTACGACCTCATCTTCCCTAAGTTGTGACTTTGAAAATCTTAATCCCCTTCCTAATCATCGCTATCCTTGAGCTCAAATCGGATACCCTTCGTGGGGAAATTCTTTCAATCCCTAAAACCCTGTTTTGATTCCTTACTCCTTGAGTTGTACCCTTGTTTACAATTCTCTTCTTCTTAATCAACATGGTCCTCGAATTGTTGAACCTAAACTCTTACCTTGATCATCCCTTTGAATGGAACCTTGTTCTTGTGTTCCCCGCTTCTAATGATTCTGTGCAAGGTGGCAACCTTATTTCCTAAAGTTGCAACTTTGATGACTTTGATCTTACTCCTATGTAACGTGGTCCTTGAATTTCTGAACCCAAACCCTTCACTCCAATCTTTCCGTTGAACCGAATCTCTTCTTGTGAGCCTTCTTTCCCCTGAGTTACCTTTCTCCTTTGTTAACGTTCCTGTTTTGAACCTTTCATCCGGACCAGAGTTTTGAAGTTTCAAGCGTTGCTTTGTAGAGAGTTGGAAGTGGTGTGCTAATGCAAGTGTTAAATTGGCAGGCTGCATCAAGTTAACCCAAGAGTTAGGGAGAAGTTCATCTTGCTCGTGTTGTGGATCAAGTAGTTGCAGCTTTTGTCGGAAGTGTCGGATCAAGTTCACGCAGTTGCCGAGCTCAAGTTAAGTAGTAGGGGTACCTTGTTTCCTTTGGTTGAAGAAGCCAACAGAGATCAGTTGAAGATGCAACCCTGGTTCTGTGATCCCGAGTGATCTAGTTTAGGGTTCTTATGGTGTCAGTTTCTATTTGTGGCTTGTTCCTTAGCTGAGTCGTCTCGTTTTGAGTAGATCGTTGGCTAGTCTTGAGCAGGAGTTAGGCTCGGTGTGAAGTTAGCTTTCCTTTCCGGTAAATCTTTTATCTATCACCTTATCTTTCTTTCTTGTCTTACATTTGTGAACCCTCAATCTACCTCTAAGTGTTGTCTTTCTTTTTGTTAACCGATGGTTTTAGTGTTGAACTTCGTTGTGACCAAGCCTATTATTCTTACCACCTTAATTCCAACCCTTGTTTCCTCTAACTTTGGTTAGTGGCGATCACCTTTGTTGCTTAAAACCTCGTTTGCAACCCATCTCTTGAGCTTTGTCATTCGTTTCGCAAGTCGACCGTTTTGTTGTGGCAACTCATTTCTTCCTTCGTTTGCTGTTGCCACTCTGTTGTTTCGCTTTTCGGCTGTGCTTAGTTGTTTTCTCTTGTTTGTCGTGGTTGTTAGCTTGTGGTTTGGGTAGTTGGTTTAGTGGCTTTGCTTTTTGAATACACCGTCCGTTGCTGTTAACCAGAGGTTGGACCAGCTTGAGGCCAGTTCGAGCCGTAGAAGAGAAGACGAAGAAGAGTCCGAGGAGTCGGATAGCGAGTCCTTCTAGAGTGAAGCTGTGGCTACCCCGTTCGCTTTTTCCTTGTTGTTTCTCTCTTAGCCGTTGTTAGCTTGGTGATAGGTTGTTGTGTGCCTTGTGTGCTTGCTTATTCTGTTTGTTGCCTTGTTGTTTAGCTAGTTTGATAGTGGTGTTTGGAGTTAGTAGTTTAGTTCTTGGTTGTTGTCTAGAAGTTGGTGGTTGTGTAGAGGCTAGAGTTCTTGATGCTCAATCTATCTGTTTGTTGACCTCTTGCCAATCCTTGAATTTGAAATGTGGCAAGCTATCGTAGGCTTCCAAATTAAAACCTTACAAACGTAGTAGCGGGAGTAAGGATCGATCCCACGAGGAGTAACTAGTTTAACTTTTGTGCTCAAATTAAAGGTAGGGGGTGGTTTGGAATATATCGAGAATAAAGATAAAATAAAAGAGAATTTAAATAAACAAGAAATTTAATTGAACGAATAAAGCAATGAAAATAATATATCGAAAACACTTATAATAGGAGACCTTGGTTAGTAAAGATCCACCACCGGAATTCAACACTGATCATTGATTAATAAAGTAATTAATATGCAATTGAATATTTGTCGTGAAATTATTTCATTTCTGTTTTCCCTTAGTTGTAGGTAATTAAAGCACAAGCGGTTTAATTACCCCTAACTACTAAATAATCTAAGACAAGCGCTATAGATTTAATTTAATAGCAGCAATAAGAACTAGGAAAACCGACAAACTAAATAACACAAGCACAAGCGGTTGCATTTAATTTAGGAAAATATTCTACACGAGACCAATTATCACTAAGCCGTCAATAATTAACCTCAGTTGCTACTGAATATTAGAATAATTTGTAGCACAACATTATCTAATATAGCAAATAAGTATATCAAATAAATAACTAGTAGGCCTCCCTAGCAATTAAATGATACAACTATTCAAATAATTTAGAAGAATATTTAATACTCAAAATGCATAAAAACATATATATAATAAAGTTAAATAAATAACCTTACAGCGTTATGAACTCCGGGGCTTCAATTCACTAAACCAACTAGAAATTAGTCACAAATGGACATTGATAACAACTTCAACGAATATTATAGAGGAGGGAAGAATGAACGTTGAACAAATGAAAACTTCTACTATTTATATACTTCCTAAATTAATTTCTACCGCCCAAATTCTATTTTTGTGCTGCACGTACGATGAATCTCCGCTGTTGCCGCATGAACTGGTCCGCTACATTGCTGCATACCACACGAATTGAAGACTAAAACAAACAACATAATTATAATGCTTAGTTTTGTCTTTTTTTAACTAAGAAGTGGGCCAAACTATAATACTTAATTTAATTGTAGATTATTTATAAAGTATATATTTAAATATATTTATAGGATAGTACGTAATATATATATTAGTATATATTCTACATATTATTTATTATATATATTATAGATTATATATTATATATAAAAAGAACTAACTATAAGATAATATTAAATAACTAATGCAAAATTATTATAAAGATGTACCTAAAATATGAGTGTAAAATATGCCTATCAAATTCCCCCACACTAAAACATTTGCTTGTCCTCAAGCAAAAATATTATTTACGAAGTAAATAAATAAAATTCCCAAAACTCATAACATATCATGAACAACAATCTGAAGCATCCTGCAATTAATAAGATAACACCCATGTCTGAAAATTGAGAAAACTAAATAAGTAAGCCCTCACAGGAATATCACTCATCACTCAAGTGTTTGATGGGTATTACTTTCACTCAAGTTCATTCCTCTAAAATTGCTCTACCATAGGCTTGCATATCTTCTCAATCACCACTACAAGAGTCATGCATGACACAAATCATAAGGACTTTCCACAAGTTGTAATGGGGCTAGGGTTAAGGTAGGGAATATTTATGAAATTAGCTTAAACAAAAGCTTTCAAACTAGAGGAGCAAATAAATACAAATAATCCAAGATACTTGCTCAACACCAAGTATAGAATGCTTCCTCAGTATTACCAGAATTTCCCCTTACTTCATTTATTTAGAAGTAACTTCAACTCAAAATCAATTGCTGATTCTTTCTCAATTTCTCATAAATTTTCAGCAATATTTTTCTTTTTCAAACATATATTCTCCATTTTTCCATTTTTTTCATTTTTTCAATTTCCATATTTTTTGGAATCATGAACTGCTTCCTCTTTTCTTTTCCATAGAAGACCAACGACATATTGGCAACGAAGATACAACTCACCTCACTCTCAATCATATTAATAAGAGTAAGTGATCTCCCCCACACTTTATCCTTCCCAACATCACGTAGATTACAAAAATAATCCAAAATTTGCTCCACTAGTTATTCAGCTAGGTGAAGGCAGTATTTTAGATATAAAAGGCTTGTAATGTGGTTCAAAATAAAGAAATTAGAAATGGCCATAAAGCTCAAAGTGGTTAACAAAGGGAAATAAATCATAGGACAAACCGGTTATTTGGCTAGTGAGGCTCAAGATCAAATAATGGTCTTAATCATACTTGAATCATGCATGGTCTAATTAGCTTTAAAAGAGAATCGAGGCAAGTTCTAAAGAAACAAAATTATGGAAGAAATCACACAATAGAAAGAAAATAAGACCGAAGTGTCAGTCAATGGCTCAAAACACTCACAGGTTTATTGCTTACTTAATCTAGCCACTACACATCGAACAGGAAATGCTAACAAACTAATCACAACTTGCCAAACTATTTATTCAATCATGTCATGAATTCCAAGAAGGGAAATTTTTTTTTTCAAAGTAATACTTATTTTGCATAAAATACTAGTAAAATATTTATGAAAATTTTTGAAAAATTTTGACAAAAATCGTGACATAAGCAAACAAATAATAAAACTAAATTAAGCAAACAAATAATAAAACTAAAACTAAATCTCCTCCCCCACACTTATTACCAACATTGTCCCCAATGTTGAATAAAAACATGCAGAAAAGGATTATTAAATGAAAAATAACGTTTAAAAAAAAGAATAGAACAAACTCCCCTTCTAGTTGTGCATTTTATTCAAAGTAGCTGGGATCTTCAAGAAGTATGTCGGCAATATAATCAACTTGAGCCCCTTCATGGTAGGGTTTAAGCCGATGGCCATTCACCTTGAATATCTTAGAAGTCTGTAAACTTTGAATCTCTATCGCACCATGAGGAAAAATATTAGTGATAATAAATGGACCAACCCATCGAGAACGTAACTTACCTGGGAATAGCCGAAGACGTGACTGGAAGAGTAGGACCTTTTGTCCAATTGAAAATTCCTTTCTCAAAAGCATCTTGTCATGAAATGCTTTTGTCTTTTCTTTGTAGATTCTTGAATTCTCGTAGGCTTCATTGCGAATCTCCTCCAACTCAGAAAGTTGCAACTTCCGGTGTAGGCCACTTTCATCAATGTTCATGTTAAAGCTCTTGACAGCCCAATAAGCTTTGTGTTCCAACTCAACGGGGAGGTGACAAGCTTTCCCAAACACAATGCGATAAGGGGACATACCAATAGGTGTTTTGTATGCGATTCTGTACGCCCACAATGCATCATCTAATCGCAAACGCCAATCCTTTCTGTTTGGGTTGACTGTTTTCTCAAGGATTGACTTTACCTCTTGGTTGGATACCTCTGCTTGCCCGTTAGTCTGCGGGTGGTAGGCAATTGACACCTTATGGGTGACATGATACTTTTTAAGCAAAGCTTCGATGGTGCGATTACAAAAGTGAGTACCCTGATCACTTATTATAGCCCTCGGAATGCCAAATCTGGAAAAGATGTTAGTTTTGATAAAATCTGCAACAACTTTAGAGTCATCAGTCCTGGTGGCTTTAGCTTCCACCCACTTCGAAACATAATCAACCGCAAGTAAAATATAGACAAAACCAAAAGATACAGGAAATGGGCCCATAAAATCAATGCCCCAAACATCAAAGACCTCACAAAATAGGACCGGAGTTTGTGGCATTTCATTTCTCCGGGATAAATTACCTGACTTTTGACAAGCATCACAACACTTGCAAAATGAGTATGAATCTTTAAACAAAGTTGGCCAATAAAACCCAGACTCCAACACCTTCCTTGCTGTTCTCTTAGCACCAAAGTGGCCTCCACAAGCATAAGAATGACAAAAGGTAAGGATTGAAGCAATTTCATCATCAGGTACACACCGCCTTACCACTTGGTCAGCACATTGTTTCCAAAGGTACGGTTCATCCCATACATAGTACTTGGCATTACTCCTGATTTTATCTTTCTGTGCCTTAGAGGAATCAAAAGGAAATTTGTTAGCAACCAAAAAGTTGACTATGTTAGCATACCAAGGTAAAACCACAGTTGCAGCCAATAGGTGTTCATCAGGGAATGCTTCTCGCAGTGGAGGTTCAGGTTTAATGTGTACCAACCGACTCAAATGATCGGCTACAAAATTTTCTGACCCCTTCTTATCTTTGATCTCCACATCAAACTCACTTAAGAGGAGTATCCATCTTATTAATCGTGGTTTGGCTTCCTGCTTTTGCATCAAGTAGCGAAGAGCTGCATGGTCAGAATAAACTATAACTTTTGTGCCCAGCAAATAAGACCTAAATTTTTCTAAAGCAAAAACAATGGCTAAAAGTTCTTTCTCTGTAGTAGAATAGTTTTTCTGAGCAACATATAAAGTCCTAGAAGCATAATAAATAATGTGGGAAGATATCCCGATCTTTTGGCCCAACACAGCCCCAACTGCGTGATCACTTGCATCACACATAATCTCAAATGGGTAGTCCCAGTTAGGTGGCTGAATGATCGGCGCAGATGTCAACAACTCTTTCAATTCGTCAAATGCTCCTTTACACTCTTTGTCAAACTCAAAGGATGTCTCTTTCTGCAACAGTTTGCTTAAAGGTAAGGCTATTTTCGAGAAGTCTATGATAAACATTCGATAAAAACCTGCATGTCCAAGAAAAGAGCGGACTTCCCGCATATTAGTGGGATACGGCAGAGATTCAATAATATCAACCTTGGCTTTATCAACCTCAATCCCACTAGACGAAATAACATGCCCTAAGGCATTACCTTGTTCAACCATAAAATGACATTTTTCAGAATTTAACACAAGATTACTCTCTATACATCTTTTCAAAATAAGCGAAAGGTTATGTAAGCAGGTATCAAAAGAGTCACCATAAACTGTAAAATCATCCATGAAAACTTCAATCATATGCCCTACATAATTAGAAAATATACTAACCATACACCTTTGAAAGGTACCCGGGGCATTACAGAGGCCAAACAGCATGCGTCGATATGCACAAGTGCCGAAGGGACATGTAAAAGTCGTTTTTTCCTGGTCTTCCGGAGCAATTGCAATCTGGAAATAACCTGAATAACCATCAAGAAAACAAAAATAAGAGCGACCAGCTAACCTTTCTAACATTTGGTCAATAAACGGTAAGGGGAAGTGATCTTTTCTTGTGACAGCATTCAACTTCCTATAATCTATACAAACTCGCCACCCATTTTGAATACGAGTGGGGACCAGTTCATCATTTTGGTTTTTGAAAACCGTAATCCCTGTTTTCTTAGGAGCCACTTGAGTTGGGCTAACCCATTTGCTGTCTGAAATTGGATAGATTATCCCAGCCCCAAGGAGTTTGATGACCTCTTCCTTGACTACTTCCATCATGGGCGGGTTTAGCCTTCTTTGTGGTTGACGAGATGGTTCTGCTCCTTCATCTAGAAGGATTCGGTGCATGCAAGTGGATGGACTTATCCCTTTGATGTCTGCAATTGTCCACCCAATGGCAGTTTTGTGTTCTTTTAGCACTTGGACAAGTTTTTCCTCTTCTATTGCAGACAGTTTAGTTGAAATTATGACTGGCAATGTTTTATTTTCTCCTAAGAAAGCATATTTGAGGTGTTCAGGAAGGGGTTTCAATGCGGGGATCGGTGCTTGCACAACAGATGGTAACAATTTTTCACTAGAAGCAGGTAAAGCCATATAAGAAACATTACTTTGTTGGCGCAATTTAGGACAATGATTCAATGATGCAATAACTTCTCGTAAATTCTCACTCATAGAAAATTCATCATTTTCAAGGTGTTCACAAATAACAACTTCCAATTTATCTTCACCATTAAATTCAAAAACTTCTTCAACCAATGAATCAATAATATCAACAGAACAAGCAACACAATCACCTCCAGGGTATTTCATAGCATTATAAATATTGAACGTAACAACATTACCATCAAATTCCATAGTAAGTGTGCCACTATGAATATCAATTTTTGTTTTTGCAGTTTTTAAAAATGGTCTTCCTAACAGAATAGGTGCAGAATGATCATTATTTTCCATATCTAGCACATAGAAATCAGTAGGGAAGATTAAATTATTAACTTGCAACAATACATCTTCAATTACACCCCTAGGATATGCATTAGACCTATCGGCCAATTGGATAACTACACTAGTTTTATTCAAAGGTCCAAGTTTTAAAGACGCATACACAGAATATGGCATAACATTAATAGATGCTCCTAAGTCTAACATGGCTTTCTCAAGTTTAGTATCGCCTATCATACAGGGAATATTAAACATACCTGGATCCTTGCATTTTCAGGAAGCTTGCTTTGAATCACAGCAGAAACATTCTTGCCCATTAGCACTTTCTCACCCTTTGATGACCTTTGTTTCCTTTTTGTTGTACACAACTCCTTTAAGAACTTAGCATATCTAGGAACTTGTTTTATTGCATCAAGTAGCGGAATATTCACTTCACAATTTTTGAAAGTTTCATATAACTCTTCATCTTTCGTTCCTTTTATAGATTCTGACAATGCTTGAGGGAATGGGGGAACTGGTTCATAATCAGAAAGGTTGGGAGACTTACCTTGAGATTTTTCATTGTTGTTAGTTCCCTCTTTTTCTTGGTTCACTGATGGGGTAGCAACCGCAGGCCCTTCAATTTCCTTACCACTTCTCAACACAATTGCACTTGCATTTTCTCTTGGATTAACCACCGTTTGCGAGGGTAGTTTGCCAGAACTCTGTGATTCCAACCGACTTACCGTAGTCGCTAGTTGACCCATCTGCCTTTCCAAGTTCTGAATACTAGCCTTCGTTTCTTGAATACTAGCTCTTGTTTCTTGTTGAAATTGTTGTGTTTCCTGCTGAAACTGTAAAGTGTTAGTAGCAAGGGATTTAACAATTTCTTCTAAATTCATACCTGAGCTAGAGCTTTGGACTGGTTGTTGTTTGGAAGGAAATGGTTGTCTATACTGCTGAAAATTGGGGCGATTCTGAACAAACTGGTTTCCTTGTGAGTTCCCATAACTAAGGTTTGGGTGATCCCTCCATCCAGGATTATATTTGTTAGAAAATGGATCATACTTACCTTGAGGTTGCCCAGGAAAACCTCCAGCCATGTTAACTTGTTCAGTAGGTTCTTCTTGAAGAGTTGGGCAGGCATCAGTTTGGTGCCCAACTACCGAGCAAATTCCACATGCTTTTACAGATTGCACATTGCCAACAGCTAATTGACGAACAAGAGTAGTTAAACCAGTAATTTGTTGCTCAAGAGCAGAAATATTTACCTCATTCACTTGCTTAGACGGTTGGACAAGCCTATTGCCAAATTGTTGAGAATTTGCAGCCGTGTTTGCAATTAGAGTTCTCGCAGCGTCCGGTATCTTGTCAACTAAAGCACCACCGCTCGTGGCATCAATCATGCTCCTATCAGTCGGAAAAAGTCCTTCATAAAAGTATTGAATGAGTAATTGATCACTGATTTGATGGTGTGGGCAGCTTGCACATAACTTTTTGAAACGCTCCCAATATTCATACAATGACTCTCCATTGTTTTGC